TTTTCATTTGACATTGAAATTATGAAACACAGATGGCGGAACACAAGTAAGAGCTAAGAAGACCCCATCTTGATTGTTCTGTTTCAGCTAAGATGTTTTAGAGAAATGCTGCTTGTTGGGTCTTTATCACTGAAATATCACAGAAAACCACCTTTGTTTATTAATTCGCTCATTCATTCGTTCCTTGTTTTTGTACACGACCGTACAACCACTACCCAAGTGGTGCAAACAAAAATCAAGACCAGATATGTAATACGTAGCAATATTTACAGAATACTCAAAATGGTTAAATATAAATGGGTAAATAGTATACTTCTTACCTATATTTATCACCTGCTTTGTGTTTTACACGTCTGATTTATTTGTTGTGCCTTATATTTATAAACTGTCTGCTTATGCTTTAGTTGTCTCTGACAGTAGCAAGCTGTGCCAACGTACATTTCCCTCAGCCTTGGTCATGTGGAAATAAAGATTCTGATTCTGATCGTGTGGCGCATACCGGTTATATACTATAGTTACATTAATTACCACTGATATTGCCACCTCCTATTAAGAAGCTCTATACTAAACAAGAAGCCAAGGTCATGATTGATCTAACTGGTTAGAGTCTGGAGTTAGACCATGTATATTATTCTGCCAATTTACCATTTATACTGAACAGATAATAGGAAGAAGCAGGATGAGAGGAGTATTGCTGACTTTGAATTTGGTTTTGGAGACTATTAAGAATCCTTTAGAATGCAAAGGAAAACAGCCAGCTAGATTCTTCATCAAATAAAACCTGAACCTTCTCTTGAAGCACCAAAGACTAGAGTGAAGTTAACCTACAGTACTTTTGTCATATTTTGAGAACACCTGTTATATTGGAAAAGACCAGGATGTGTCGAAGAATTGAAGGTAAAATGTAAAGAGAGTAACCACTTGATTGACAGCTGCATCCTCTGCTGTTATTGTGGTTATTCTGAAGGAGCCTGAGAGAGTGTTGGGTTTTTAATAATAATGACACGTACTTTATTGATCCCTGTGGGGACATTCTTTTTTTGCCTACCCCGTCTTGCTCTCCATCACACACAGACACATATGTAGGTTAGAGCAAGCTTGGCAGTGAAGGGCAGCCACCTGCAGTGGTACCCATGGAGCTGGGAGTTAAGGGTCTTGCATAAGGGCCCAGAGATGTGACCATTCTGGTGAAGCTGGGCTCTTGAACAGCCACATACTGCCCCCCTATAGAAGCTTGTTTATAGTATATTTTATATCACAATATAACTTCTAGGACACCTTTCCCATTTTAAGCATCAAATACAAAAAGTAATTATTTGTGTTAATGCAATGAAAATGTCACTTTTCATTTGCTCTTCTTGTTTTGGAGGTAGCACTGATATTCCCGCATTTTTATGGATCTTTACGTAATTCCTGTCTGCTGCACACTTTTGGGTACACAGTGATGAAACAAAACAAACATGTTTGGTAGCATGAGGGTGCAGGTGCTGACAGAAGTGTATTTTTGGGTTTTCTGCAAGTGTAAAGCATGCCCTCCACCAACGTGATAACTGACAGCACAGAAATATGTGCCACTTTTCTGTGTCACAGAACTGGAGATTTTTAAGGTTGCCTTCTCTTGTGCGTTCCCTGACAAGTTAAATTTTCCCTCGTACATTTATCTTGGTTGACATTATTAATCTGAAGAAATCCAAGTAGCTCCAGTGCTGTCTGTCCTTCAATTTGCTGGTACCAGTACATAAATTGGTAGTTGTTGCCATTGTGTTTACATGTGATCTCAAAGGCCTGACTAAAGTTTCCAGTGAGAGAAGGTGAAGATTGGAGAACATTTACTGCACCAGTGAACCCTGAAAAAGAGAGAACGAAATGGTCAAGCACACAAAAGCTGGGAAATAGTGACATACTTTAGGCAAAGCTTAAAAATAATCTGTGAAACCATCCTCTTTCACCTGTATGAAACAGTATCATTATGATGACTGTAGGCAAACGGTAGACTTTCTCCATTTTTAACATCTGAGAATTTCTGCATGTTCTGGAACTAGTTAGGAGTATGAGAGTAGAGCTGCCTCGTGCTGAGATATGTGCTTCTTCAGACCACATTTAAAATGAGGGTGTTCTTATTGTATCTGTGTGAAGTGTCTCCCTCTAGTGATCTTTTGACCAAGGTAGAGGCTGGTGTCTCTCATCTTTCTGATGTTTTTGTGGTTTTAATCATAAAAGACTCAGAATCGTCAGTCTCAGATGAGTTTTTTTTATAACTTTCTAACTCGTTATTAAATCTAATCGCAGATTCATGCTTACAAACAAATTATTTATTATTACAATGTACAGGACAACATTGTAGGACTAGTAACTGATAGCACTGAAATATACACTGTTTCACTGTCTCACTATGTATTGTGCAGTAGTGTCTGGAAGTCATACATGTCAACCACACTGCAGTGAACTGCAGTGGACTTGGGCGTCTATGTTTTGGTGAAAATTGTGAGTCATCATAAAAGGCTCCTTATGCTCATAGGTTTTATAGCTTTTATTTTTATTACTATAAATAATTCTGGTAGATAAACAGGCACTGAAAACAACAATCTGACCAATAATGTCTATAACTTCAGAAAATAACTGCAATCAAAAATTTAAACTTTACTACCCCGGGTCTCCGCAGAGACCCCCTGTGTATCCATCTGTAACATGGAGTGAATGCAGGGCAGCTAAAGAAGGTGGTATATATTTTCCATGTGTACTCAGATATTCCTCTGCAGCAGGTGATTTCTGATACTGAAGTAAACTTTATTAATTGGTTTAAGAGCATCATGCTCTGTAAGATTTACATCTTACAGCTGGCAATTGGAAACTGGAGAAAATCGTGATAGGAATAGACCTGGAAGACCCAAAGTCAGAACACAAACCAGAAGACAAGTTTCTGAGAGTCACCAGCTTGCATGATAGGTGCCTCATAAGACAATAGCTTCAAGGACAGCTTAACGGGGTCAAAGTAACCAAGTCTCACTTTTTACTGTGAGAAGAAGACTGCTATAGGTTCGACAGGTTGAGTAGCAGTAGGAAGGTCATAGCTGAAATGGCAAAATAAGAAAAAGAGGCTTGCCTGGTCCATGAACCACTAAATGGACTATAGAAGACTGAAAGAAAGTCTTACGGATGAATGAATCAAAATTTGAAGTCTGGTTCATCACACTGGGTGTTTGTATGCTGTCGACTAGGCGAAAGGATGGTTCCTCAGTGTGTACCACCTACTGTCAAACAAGTGTGATGGTCTGGAAGCAGAGTTGGTGGCTTTCATAGAGTGACTGGCATTCTGAACCAAAAGGGTTCATACTTACTTAATATGCCCTGAGATGGACTGACATTCCATCCTACATCACTTTGCATTTCTACGTCTACTTGGTCAGTGGATCATCATACAGCAAGATAATGACCCAAAACATACTTCTGGCCTATGTCAGAACTGCATAAAAAAAGAAAAGAACAAGTGCTACTCTTAAAAACATGGAATGTCCAGTGCAGTCTCCAGACTTAAACCCCATTGAGCTGCTTTGAGATGAACTGGACAGGAGGGTGATAGCAAAGCAACCTACAAGTGCTCCATACATTTATGGAGGCTTCTGTAACAGAGCTGGGAAGAACATTTTGACAAATATTTGATTTCCTTTGTAGAAAGAATGCCACATGTGTGTCTGGCTGTTATATCAGCTAAATGTGTCTACTTTGAAGAATCTGTTTGTTCCATGCTTTGATTTCACTGAACATTGAAACATTAACTCTGCATACTTTTCCATAAAAAATGAAAAACTGAGGTGTTCTAATGTACTGTATGTTCAGCCTAGAGAAACACAGACACAGGTTGCCTCCTCTTTAATATCAGAAAATTAGCTGAAGTGGAGAGCAGTTTCTCATACACCTGATGTAACTAGATAGACGTCACTGCCTTATCATTTCATCTGAATTCTTACAGAGTGTGTGGTTAAAAAAAAATTACCATGAGCACTGGCGGTTTGAGTTGCTTCACAGTGGAATGTCTCCCTCTAGGGACAGAAATGGTCTTTACATGACTTTTTGTCTAAGAGAATGTGTGGGCTCTCTCACTGTGCTTTAGAAGCTGAGCAGAAGTATAGAGCACTGTCTGAGGTATCCGTGGATTTAATCATAAAAGACCCTGACAGTGTCTCAGCTTTTTTTATTTCATATTTATCTGTCTTGTTTTTGAAATTGTTCTCATATTCTGGATCCCTATCGGTCAGAATGCTAGCAATTAATTCAATCCCTTTCCCTGGTATTTGTCTATACCAGTACATATAGTGCAGTGTGTTGTCATTGTGGGAGCATAAAACTATAGTGGTAGGTTTCCCATCATTTGTCAGAACATCTTGAGGTTTCTGAGTGATGACAGCTCCCTGGGCACATGCTGCAGAGAAAACGTAAAATTAATTAACCAGCCATGGATAATTGAGTGGTTGAATTAAGACATGGGTAAATTTAATTAATTTTGTTAGCGTTGGAAGAATTTTTACTGTGCGAACGATATGAAGTGCATATAACAAATGTACACCCCCTTATTGAAAGTCATTGAATTTTTTTTTCTGAATTTTATTCGTTGCAGCATCATATTATGCAGGGAAAATATGATCGACATGATTTCTGGCTTTACATCACAAAAAAAAAAACGCAATTTAAATTAGGGGATGTAGACTTTTTCATATGCATTGTATGTTGTTATTGTTCAAGCCAACTTTATATAAAATTATAAAGAAAAAAAAGACACAGGATAAAATCATACTTATCAGCAGGTAGTAGAGTAAAATTGCTCTCATTTTCCATGTGTTCATGCCTTTGCTTATATTATATAATATGCAGAGTAAAGCTACAGCACTTTCAGCTTATAAACACTGACACAGGAAGTGACTTACGAAGTTGGAGGAAACCACTTTTTCAGTAACATCCTGGCACGAGATATTTTCCATTTAACATGTAAACCATTGTATGTTTATGACACAAAATTCAACTTTTCAATATGTTACTGTTATGTACTTTTAACTTACTCCGGATCATTTTATTATTTGCATAAAATACATGTAAAATATGGGAAATAGTGGAAAGTTCTTTACATACGAATAAGTTCTCTAATTATAATAATACTATAATAATAATAATAATAATCATCATTAATAATTATGGATAATTATGGAACGGATATAACAAGAATACAAGAATCAGTAGAACAGATTCTACCCTCTGTTATAGGGCACATTTCAGTCCAGATCTTCAATGTTTTTTAAAACACAAAGCCATTGCAGGAAACCACTGCTCTTTACACTGTGGCATTACTTAGTAATGACATTGTCTCCCCCTACAGGCGAATTTGTCACTCAAAAAACTGGACAGATTAAAATGCTGTCATTTGGTCCAATAATTCATCCAAAAAGGTCAGTGTATCAGGGTACAAACTAGCTGTACAGAAATAAACTGCTCTTGCATGTGGCCTAATTTATCTTCTGCCAGAGATTTCTTTGTTAATTCTAAGTCCTTATTTTTGTAGCGACGTTCTGTACTTTGAGATGGGATAGATGACAGTACAATGTACCGCATATTGAGCAGAAAACAATAGCTTTTGTATGGTATGTTTATTTTATTGTGATGAATGGGAACATGACTATATAAGTTGAAACACCAGACTATATAAATCGAAATTTTAAATTGGGAACATTTTATAAATTTGATTTTATTTATATTTGTATATTAACATATGTTATAACACATACAAACTATAGATGGATGATTATATTAGAAAATGTGACTAAGAAAAATACTCTTAAAATGCAAAACTGATGTTTTGCAGAAATTGTTTGTTTTATAGTTTGTTTCCAAACAATTCAGCCCTTCTGTCCAGCATAGTTGGGGACAACAATGTTGGCCCAGTTGTATACAACGGGGATGAAGAGCAAGGCAGAACCCAGCACTGAAACCAAGAGGAATGTCCACAGGAAAACTCGGTCGAGGACCTGGGCCACAAATTTCCAGTTCTGTACTACCTGCAAAAAAAGACTGATTAGGTATCTACCACAGATATGTCCATGTATAATGCTATACTAAAGAGATGAGATATTCTTTTTTTTAGTAACTAACTCAATAAAGCAAGTGCGAGTTTTCATGTTTTTAGGTTTTAGGTTTGTGCTGGATGCTAATTTTTTTATTATTAAAGTTTCTGATAAGGGTGTTAACAATACAAAATATGTCTCTGGATATTAAATGCAATAATGCTTTATTGCATTTAATATGTTGGACTTCTGTGTTAGTTAATGTCAGAGACCCAGTATATTAAATTTAACATTATACAAATCTAACAAAGTGATAAACAGACATTACAAATAGAGAGGCACTTGTGAGACAAGGACATGGACAAAACCATTTTTTTCTATATATTTTTGTCTTAAGAGGAGTGTTTGGAATGATGTCATTCTCTCACCTCTCTGACCTCATCCTCTCTAGCCACATGCAAGGTGATGTAGCGGATGGACTCCAGAGCTGCTTGCAGTCCATCCTTGGAGGAGAGGAGAGGTATTGTCTTGCACCTGGTGATCCTGGCCCCAACTTTACCTGCACCCCCCTTTGTGCCTCCAGGGGTTGTGTAGCGGTCTGCATGGCTGCGCATGCAGAGCAGCTTGGGCAGCTGGTGCAGAAATATGTGGCGCACCCAGGGTGCCATGTTGTGGTGTGCTGAGGATGAGCGGTGGTGGATGTTTATGACAAAGACGGTGATGACAATGGAAAGCGTAACAAAGATCATGGTAAACACCAGATACTCCCCGATAAGGGGGATGACCTTGGAGGATGATGGGATGATCTCTTCAATTACCAGCAGGAAGACAGTGAGTGACACCAGCACTGAGGTGCAGAGGGAGATCTTTTCGCCACTGTTGGAGGGCAAGTAGAAAACTAGGATAGTGAGAAAGGAGAGGCCTATGCATGGTATGATGAGGAACAGTGTATAGAAGAGTGGTAATCTTCGGATGATGAAAGAGTAAGTAATAAAGGGATAGAAGCAGGATCCATCCGTCCTTATACTGCGAATGCCAGTGGCTGTTACGATCTCCCACTCGCCATTGTCAAAATAGTCATGTTTGTCCACGTGGAAGTCCTCGAGAAGAATATCCACCTGCAGAAGAAGTATGAAATAGGTTATGAATCACCATCGTTCCAGAGCTGCAAGATCACACAGAACTGCAACTGAACTGCAGAACTGCATTTTTGAGGTTTACCTGTGAGCCATCGTATGTCCAAGAGCCGAACTTCATAGAACAATTCTGCCGGTCAAAAGGGAAGAAAGTGACATCTATAGTGCAGGCTGACTTGTAATTAGCAGGGGGCTTCCACAAGACGGTACCGTCGTACTTGATCACACTCTTTGTCATAGACCCCTCAAAATGACCATCCGCACTGTGCCAGTGAATAATAAGAGAAAAATTTTATGAAATGCAAAATGAGCTTCCTCTTAATTCATAAATATAGGTCAATATAATTAACATTTCAGACTTTTAGACTGTCCATTAATCTAATCATCTTCCACCATTTATTCTGTACAGGATCATGGGGGATTTTTTAGCCTATCACTGTAGGAAGAAGCATCATGTCACATACTTGTCATACAGGACAATGTCTGGAACCCAGATGGAATCTGAAGGGACACGGATTGATGTTATTCCCAAGAAATCATCCGGATTCCACCGTAGCTTCATATCAACCCATTCCTATAAATACAAATCTCTCTGAGCCAGCAGTCTTTCATTCCTGCCCGCAGCAGACATGCACTTTCCCCTGCAATTTCATTTCATAAGGACCTTTCAATGAGGAGAGACTCAGAGGGCCGTTGTAAGGCCATTTTTGAGACAGATTTCTTTTATAGCCTTCATAGTAACTTGAGACAAGCCGATAATTTGTGAATCTTTTAAATTAATGAATAATCAGCATATATATTCAATTTAAAAAGTGAGGATGGGTGACGTTAGGAAGGTTAACCATTGGTAATGTCTGAGAACAAATAATCTTATGCATCGTTAAAAAACACATAGACGATATTTATACACATAGGAATCGTCACATTAAAAGCTGATATTTAATGTGATGTTCTCCAAGGAGCACAAACCTGTTTCATCCACACATTTGTTGTCATCAGCTGGTTCTTCTCATCCTACAGGTCAGTGAAGAAAAAAAGATCCTTTTAATACTCTAAATAGAATTTCTATCTAAATAGGACTAATACATTTCATAAAGTCTTGCTCCAGGTGTTGTGCTAGAAGGAAACCCATGATTTAGGTAGAAGCCACAGTCAGTCCTGCTACAATATGTGATGTCACACTTCAAATCTGTTGTAACATGATTGATATATTAGTACCCAAGTCCAATATCATCACATTTGTATTTGCGAGATTTTCAGTTGGAGAGAATCGCACTAGGTCAACTACAATGCGATATGGTCTTAGTGAGAAACACTACTTGGATGAAAAAACAGCTATCCAAGTGAACGAAATCGATGTCTGATTCTGACTTCAACAAGGATTCTAGAGAACTTAAAAACTGCTTTGGATCTTGGCACAATATAATGCTAGAGAAATACAGTTTCTTACCACATCTACCAGCTGGGATATGGCGAGTCCAAATTTGACCTGTACCGTTCCATTCAGGTGCTCCACTGGTCTCACCCACTTCTGGTAATTGCCGAAGAGGTGCTTGAGTAACCGGTCCTCCATTTTGGCATAAGAGGACAGCTTGGGTGTTGCTAGACACAAGTAATGGGAAAGAATAATAGTAAAGTGCAATGTTTACATCTTTGTGTTAATAGCATAAGCACAAAATACGGGGCAGTGTGAGGCTCTACTAGTTAGGAATCTATGCCCAGAAGGTCGATGATTCGAATCCCTTGGCTTTTAGAGTAATCATATTCAGGGCTGTCTTTGAAAAGAGAAGAGCAGTCACTTTTATTGAATCATGGACAGAGGCTGTAGAATGACATCACTAGAATGACCATTTTGGAAAAGAAACATCCTTTTTCAGTTGCTGCATTCACTGCATAACGTGAATTTTCTCATGTCTAATTAAACCAAATGTATATGGAGAGATCATAGATGTCTTTCATTAGAATAATATAAAAGCAATATACATTTTTAATAAGAAACAAGAAGCGATAAACGTTTGTTTCTTACTAAAGCCATATATTAGCACATACGGCAAAATGTAAAGTTCATGTAAAAGCAAAAACTGTTTGTTCTATAGGCTTTTACCTTGAGTGTTTTACATGTGAAATGTGTTTTTGGGATGAATGTGCCCATAATCATACAAGAAAAAACACATATTTTTAGTGAACATATAAAAAACACCATGCACTGTCATATATAATTGAAATAAGAAGCTTGCTAGTCTTATATGAACCATGCGTTTTTTTTCATAAGGAAATTGAGTGACATGCTATGCTTTCACCTTTGTGTAGGATATGCATTGAAACATGGCATATTCTTTGCTCTATTGGTGGGTTTTTTCTTGCTGCCTAGTTCTTGTTCACTTTCTTGTAATGAAGTACTACTTTTCTTTTTTTACTGATACCATTTATTGTATTCCTCATAAACACAATTACAGCAGAGAGGGGCTTATTTGATAATGAAATTTCCAAATGAACAAAATTCCATTAAGCATCACTGAGAGTTGAGTGATTGCTTATAGCAGGGGTGGCCAATCTTATCCGTAAAGGGCCGGTGTGTATGCAGGTTTTTGGGATAACCTGTAGGTCAGCTGTTCAAACCCAGGTGTGAGGACTCTTCAGCCATTCAGTCCTCTAATTAGAAATCTATTTAGGCAGTTGCAACGAAAACCCGCATACACACCGGCCCTTTGCGGATAAGATTGGCCACCCCTGGCTTATAGGATCGCTCACGTCTTTTCTTTTTAGCTGGAGCTAAAAGCTAAAAATGATTTATTCATTCTGCACTATCCTTCTTACAAAGCCCATTGTAGCTGTGATGAACCCCCCAAAGAATAAAGGCAGGAAATGACAGGGCCCTTTGATTCGTTATAAAATATAAGCAGTGTATTGGTGCTTAGTAATTTTATTATTATTCAGCAAACATGGTATTAGAGGGGTCGAGTCAACAAACACATGTGTGACAGGAATACTGTCGTGACTTCAGGGGAAGTTTTGAAATTGCTAAGCTGAGACATTCAACATAGTTTTACACCAACATGAATATGATGTAAACATCCCTGCTTTACTATTGCTAAGGGATTCAATGGAACAAAACAGATATTTAGGAAGATAACTTATGTTAGTACAAAAAATATAACAGTCTGTTGGAAATGGTGCAATTTAGCATAAAATGAACTACCGTATAGCATGTGAGCTGATCTTTTCATTTGAACTGCATGATCAGTCAGATCTGACTTGTAAAGTATTGGCTCTGATACACACACACACACACACACATATATATAGTTTCACAATAATAACAAAGGCCATACTTTTTTCAGTATATCACTTCTGTTTATGTAAATAATACATAGACGACACATTGACCACTGTGATTAATTATGCACATCCACTTATACTCAATTAACTTATACTAAACTTGTCTAATTAAAACAAGGTTTCACACAGGACTACTGCTGCCATTAGAAATCCTGCTGGTTTTGGGAAACAGTGTCAGATGAGGCGATGCAGTGTAAACAGGCCTGTCAGAATTCATCTCCACTATTGATTGGGCTAAAATGTCAGGAGATGGTGCTTCCTGATCCAATCAAATTACACTGGGGTATCTGTTGTCTCGACCCAAGGGTCTCTGCTGAGTGTATGGTGTCACCTCATATGTATTAAATATCTTCCCTGTGGAGCAGCTTGTTATGCAAAAGATTTTGTAATTCAGATCAAGTCAACATTGATTATAAGACAGATAGATTTGCATTACATTTGGGACAGCCATCTCCACCAGGCAGCCTTTGCAAAAGCTACACAATAAACAATACAATAAATCAGATTTTATGCTGTATTTTTTTTCACCAATTTATACAAGGTAGGAAACACATTTGAAGGAAGATTTAGTAAAAGAACTAGTCTTATATATGTTAAGTGTCGTTTCATTTTTGTAACTGCTACATTGAAACAAATGTTCCTTTTATTTAAAATAGTATGTTTCTAAACTTCCTTTCTATTGCATTTGCCATCACTCTCTATTTTCAAATCGTGAAGAATACATCCATTAAGCAGAGAGCAAATTCCAAATGAAACGAGCTTACCATGACACAGGCAGAGGTAGCGGCAGCACGAGAGTAGGAACAGGGCCTCGGCCAGTTGTACTGCCCTCAGCATCTTCACAGTGACAGCATCTTGTCAGCAGAGCCCGCGAGGAAGGCATTCGGCCATGAAGGCAACAGTGCCAGAGATCGCCGCGTGAGCGCTAGGGCGAGGATGCCGTGTCCTACCAGACTGCACGCATCTGCGTGCACGTGCCTGCATGCCCCACCTTGCTCTTCACTGCCTTCCTCCCTCCCGTCACACACTCCCTCCTCCTCCCTCCGTCCCCCCTCCCTACGTATCACAATTACACAGGAGGACAGAGGAGGGGAGGGAGCACATTAATCATGTCTCCCCCCCCCCCACTCACTGCAGCTTCGTCACCTGACCTCAACAGCAAGCCTGTCGCCAATTTCCACTTTACCAACAAACCACAACACTGCTTTACTTTTTAGCCTACGCTTTCCTAAAAAGAAGAAAAAAGAAAAAAACATGTTGTTGTTAAATGTACTGTATGAGTCTGCCCTGAAAACAAGGAGCCTAATATTTTGCAGAATTTCCTTACAGATAGTAGCTTAACAATAGGCAGCCATGAGCACAGTTCAGTGCATTCCTGGCCCATGACTCCTGGATTAAACCCTCCTCTTTTGTCAATAAACAGCTACAGTGAGGCTGGGGTTGGAAATAATGAATTTGTGCATTTGGATTTGTCATGTCCATACAATAGGAAAACGTATCATTTGTGATGGCTAGCTTACCCAAAGCAAACATTTAATATGTAAAATAATTTACAGACATCCAACAACAAAATGATTTATTTTCAATACATGTCTTTGTTCCCACACTGTATAGGAATACACAGAATGCAGCTCAGTTCTGAGGTCTTGCTCCGCTCTGTTCCTCAGCATCTTATGTGATTTAGTATGTGCTGCACCCATGAGTACATGGGTTTGTTTGGAATGTAACCCTTTCCACACAAGTCCTGCTTAGTTTATATTGTTCTTCTGTACTCTGCTGTATGTGGGTAACTCTGTCTGCAGATGATACACAAAACAAAACACTGCTAAATGCCTTATCAAGGAGGGTAAATTAATCCAAAATGTTAATTCAATAAATACAATGTAATACAAAACACACTGAACATAATTCTGAAATTGTTTACATATTTAGAAATTTTTTGGCTGGCAGAATTACTCCAGAAATCTGATAAATTCAGGAAATTCTATTGTTATGAGAACATGACATTTGCTGCCTAAATTATTTATTTTTGCCTTAATTTTTATAATGTTCTAGCTTCTCATTTGTCACATTATCCTGCACCCAGGGGCGGACTGGCCATCGGGAAGTTTGGGAGTTTTCTCACTGAGCTTGTCTTGTGAGGGTCGCTTTTTCTTCACCAACCCTGGCATTACAGAGCCTGAATACAAAGGGTGTCGAACCTTCCTTCGATGTTTCCAGGTCAATCACAGGAGATGATTAATAGATAATACCTACGTCATTGGATAATACTCTACTTCAATGAATAATACTCTACTTCATTGGATAATACTCTACTTGAATGGATAATACTCTACTTCATTGGTGATCGCTGGTCGGCGGCAAAATACACCAAGTGGGACCCCCCCGCTTTTTGTTGCCAGTCCACCCCTGCACACCACTACCCCCCTGTTCTTCAACTTGGGTTTCCTGTGATGTACTTATCGCTGCCTAACCATGCATATGAAACCACCCACCCCCATCCTACCCAAAATAATACACTGTTACACCCTACAGAGCAGTGTACGCTGTTTTGTATATTAACCTTGTACACTATTTTGAAGTGGTTAAAAAGGTAATGCAAATGTAAACCTGTGCAAGTGGGTGTCTTTCCACACCTGAGCTACGCGTCCTATTCTGAGCACAGCATAACATAAAACAAGAGATGCAATGGAAACAGTGGTAATAATACACTGTAGCCAACTATCAAATAGCTGTACAAATGCCTTGGCAGTGGAAACATTTCAGCATTTCTTGTAAATGATGTAGAGAATTCAAATAAGCCTTCCAGGTATTTTCATTAAAAGAATCTAATCTATGTATAGCACTAACTAAAAATATTTTCTCGGTTAGATGATGAGACTGACACCCCATGTAATGACAGATTCCAGCCTATAGTCATGTAGTCACTCACCTCTACTTCATGGTAAACCCAGTTTTCTGTGAATTAAAATGAACAAATGCACATTGGACTGATACTAAAGCAGGAAGTTTTGGATTTCTATTGTTCTTTGTATTCAGTTATCTTTAATTATTACTGAATTATGAATATTATACATTATTATTTATAATATTATATTAATTTATAATATTATGCATTATTATTATTATTTCTCGTTTCTGTCAGCTTGCCTTCAATTAACTAATGAAGAAAGCAATGAAATATGAACAAGGGCAAATTTATGTGAAGGAAATACTTATATTTACTGAAAACATTAGTTTCAGCCTCACCATCACAAAAGCTGGTTTCATCCTCATCTGAGAATTCAGCAGATTCATATGTATGGCTGGTAAATGATAAACACACACAATAATGGCATGGATATAGGCGAATGTTTGATCCTGCTTTATAGCACTTTGCATAGGAATTCACCCCCGCTCCCCCTGGGATTTTTCCACATTTTGTCATGTAGCCTTGAATGAAAATTGATTTCATGGTGTTTTAATGTATAGGACCCCCCATTATGGTCAAATATTTCTTACACAAGAAATAGTTTAATCAAATGGTACAAAGGCTAATAAAATCCATATTAATTTGAGGATGCGTCATGACAAAATGTGGTAAAGTTCAAGGGGAGTGAACACTTATGCAAGGCACTGCAAGTGTAGTAACTGACAATCAACACACAAGTGTACAGGCGGTCCCCAGGTTACAAACGAGATCCGATCCCTAAGTCTGCCTTTACAGGTCCATCCATCCATACATCCATTTTTTGTAAACACTTATTCTATTTAGGGTTGCATGGGGTCTGAGGCCTATCCTGGAAGCCACAGGCACAAGGCAGGGAAGAACCCAGGATTGGGTTCCATCCCATCGCAGGGCACATTCAAACATGCACACCTACAGGCAATTTGCTAAATCAAGTTAGGAAAGCTAGGAAATTGGAGTATCTGGATGACACCCCACAATGACACGGGGAGAACATGCAACCATGATGGAAAATTTGTAGCTAAGTTGGAAAAATAATAGTACAATACAAAATTAAAATTATTATTATTATACACTAATAATAAAAGTAATTACATATGATGGGCTGACTGTACCATATGTCAGCCAACGGACTACTGAAGTCATCCAATGTCTTCATAAGTGTCATAATGTAGTACATGTGATTACAAACTATTGCATTTAAGTTTATAATATAAAAAAAACTTTAAGTCAGTTTGTTCGTTAGTACGAGTTGTCTGTAAGTCATACATTCTTGACCTATTGACTGAACATTTTGGCTGTGTTGCCACAGCCAAATGCCAACTATTACAGAGTTCTGACAAAATAGCACATAAAGACTCACCTGCCTGTCTCCTGAAACGTGTCATCTTCTAAAATGTAACAAATGATAAGGTAAACGATGAAGAAAAGCAGATTTGAAATTTATAGCTATACACATAATAGGCCCAGTACTCACCGGGATCAGGTACACTGTGATGAATTTCTGTGCTATTCCTATTATCCTCCTCCTGTTCCCTGGGAGAAAACCAGATTTATTTGAAAAACAGTGGTCGCACAACAAACTGAAAACATAGGAATGTCAGGCCCTTCCACTTACCTTTCAGGGCCACCTTTGGATTTCCCTGATAAAGAAAGCAATGTAAGCATACTTTTACGTAATAGAAAAAATAAGAAAAGCATCATATGTATTATTTAAACTAAGATCAGGGAACCAAAAGAAAATACAGCAACAGACTTTATGATACCTTTACTTACCTTTCTTAGTCACTCTATACCGCCAAACTCCAACCATTATGACTAGAATCAGCAGTAAAATGATCCCCACCTGTCCAACTGCTAGAATGGACTCTGTAATACAAATGTTTTCATAAAAAACTTTGAACTCTCTGACAGTGTCAGGGATGTATGTTGTGTGCATGTTATTAATGTATATCTTATCTGAGCAGCAACTATCATTGTACATTAAGTCAATAATTTTACCATTAATAAAATAAACTGTGTTTTCAAGGAGAGATTTAGCTAAATATTATAACTTTTAATACTTATTTATAATGATGTTTTAAATAAAATGAAATATTTATAAATTAGTATTTAAAATATTGTCCTTTTTTCTTTATGTGGCATGTCTTTTTAATCATACTGGAGCTTAATGTTAACAGTTGTCCGTTGTTGTGTAATAGCCCCTTTAATCATACTGGAGTTTAATGCTAACAGTTGTCTGTTGTTGTGTGATTGCCTCGTAAAAGCTGTAGACTGCTTTCTCTAGAAATGGTAATGCAGAATCATTATTGATTTAGAAATTTGAAATAGTCTGAAACTTTGATTTAAGAAGTGTAAAACTACACCGTCTATCTTGCTACGATAGTGTATAAATGCAATATTTGTGTGGTTCAGTTCTAAGATGTGTGGTATTATATTAAAGTCAGTAAAGAAGTACTTACCACTAAAAGTGGCACGAGCAGAGAGTAATACAGTATTATTTCCATACAACTTCACTGCCATGCTGGTGAGTAACCCTGACTTGAAAAGAACACAACTGTAGTTGCCATTGTTCTCTTTGGTGATGCTCTTAATGGTGAATTTGGCTTCATTCTTCTCTGTGTTCCATGTTTGTAATTGTTCGGGAACTCCATCTTTACTGAGGTAGGCAAAGGACGCGCTACTGTACAGCATCTGCACATCTTGAAGGGTACACCTTAGACCCACATCATCACCTTCCCTCACTGAGTCATCCCTCACAGCAATGTTTGCTGGGATGAAATCATCTGAACCCAAAGGAAGAGTTCCGTATGATATACCATCAAACATATTTCAGGTGTGTATTTGCCGTGCTAGCTATACATCCATAAGTATATCGAAGGATAAAAGGGTATTGAAAAAAACACCGCAAATTAACATTGAGTAAAGGCTATTTAATGCAGGAATACTTAATCAAAAAAACAGCTGAATATTGTACTGCAGTGAGGAGAAAACAATCACTTCTTTGATTTCAAAAGTCTAAACATTTACAGTCTATGTTGCTACACTCATGTATAAAAGCAGTATCATTCGTATGTTTCAGTTCTAAGATGTATGGAATTATATTAAAGTCAGTTAAGAGGTACTTACCACTAAAAGTGGCACGAGCAGAGAGTAATACAGTATTATTTCCATACAACTTCATTGATGTGCTGGTGAGTAACCCTGACTTGAAAAGAACACAGCTGTAGTTGCCATTGTTCTCTTTGGTGATGCTCTTAATGGTGAATTTGGCTTCATTCTTCTCTGTGTTCCATGTTTGTAATTGTTCGGGAACTCCATCTTTACTGAGGTAGGCAAAGGACGTGCTACTGTACAGCATCTGCACATCTTGAAGGGTACACCTTAGAACCACATCATCACCTTCCCTCACTGAGTCATCCCTCACAGCAATGTTTGCTGGGATGAAATCATCTAAACCCAAAGGAAGAGTCCCATATGATATACCATCAAACATATTTAGAATTAGAATTAGAATCAGAATTAGAATTTCAGGTGTGTATTTGCCGTGGTATCTTTACATCCATAAGTATGTCGAAGGATACAAGGGTATTGAAATCAACATTGAATAAAGGCTATTTAATGCAGGAACACGTAAAAAAAAAAAAAAAACAATAGCTGAATATTATATAATGTACTGCAGAGAGGAGAAAAAGATCAGTTTCTTACCGATGACCCGGAAAAAGACAGAGTTATCTCCTTTTCTCTGGACTTCGCTTGGTTTGTACATAGACTTGGAAAACACACAGCTGTAGTTGCCAGTGTCGTGTTTTGTCACATTTTTCAAAATAATTTTGTTCTCACAAAAATTATTGTGCAATTGTCTTCTTACTCCGATTCCGTTTTTGCAGAGGTATATGTACACCGACTCTGACGGGTCTTTCCTAAATCCATAGGTGCTGCAAATTACTTCTACTTCACCTCCTACTGTTGAAATTTCCTTCATAAATACCTTTGCAGGATGGATGTCATCTACAATAGTGCCAAGATGAAAGAAAAAACAGCATCGGTATGGGTTATGCTTTAATTAACTGAACAAATGATTGAAACTCAATTTGTGGAATTGTTATTAAAGGTTGATTTATAGTTCAAAAAATGTTTTATGCATGGAAGTAAAAACATGCAAATTATACATTCACAGTAAAATATAGTAAAAAGTGTACATTAGTTTGTAATTACCTATTGCATGGGTTGGCATCATATTTGCTAGTGTATCTACAAATAAATGAATATATATTAAGGTTCTATACAATTTGCAGCAAAAAAAGTAATAAATATGAGAACTTCATATCTTCACAATGAAATACAATATTAAAATAGTTGTTGTAGAAGCTACTTACAAGCTAAGAGCAGGACGACGGACATTTCTGTGTCTAGAGGCTTGGCTGAGCTTGAGAGGTTTTAGGCAGCACTCTTGTGAGTTTTAGGGCAGGCGTTACTGAAGCATTTAGCTAGTTTAAAATAGCATCACAACTGCCTATGGTAAAACTGTGACTACAGTATGTTTCTGAGTAGAAAGGTCAGACACAGAAACCAGAACAGCTCCTGTAGTAGTTTTATCAGATTTTAAGATTCAAATTCATTTCAGTTATTTTTTATATAAGATTATGTTGCACACCATACAGTAAGAGATAACTGGAGGACATAAAGATGTGCTTGTTGTGAAAGAGCATTTAGCTCACCAATTGCTGAACTACATGGAAGTGTTCCTAGTTAATTGAATGGGGAGACTTCATAAGCAAGCCAGAAAAGCAAGTTCATTATTGGATATCGTAGCAAGTTAGTCACATTTCGCAAACCTTTGTACTTAAACCAGATTGTTTGTTCTGGTTTCGCCTTGTTGCCTGGGTTTCGCCTTTTGCCTTTGGATCTGGTTCCGTTCCAGTTATGTTTGCCGGCCAAATAGCACTGAGTCTAATCCCTGCATTTTACCTTGGAGGTGGTTGGCTCACACTCAGTGCACCCTTGCCATGGGAAACCATAGTTTAGCTCAATTTAATAGTATATTTCATACTTTCCAACAGCCTGTTATTTCACCCTAAGTCTTGAATTAGGGTTAGCTGATTGAAGCTAGGGTTACGGGTTTTCAGACATCAGAACTTTATTTTATGATAGTTCAGGGCCCCCATATAACAGGAAACCACAGTTTAGCTTGATTTAATAGCATTTTTCATACTTTCCAACAGCCTATTGCATCACCCTAGACCCCAAATTATGGTTAAAAAAATATTTTTGTATAGCGCTGTAACGCCCCGCTCCGTCCGCCACGCCCACCTCATTACCTTGTGTAATTCCCTGATTGTTCTCACTTGTGATTCGTTACCCTTAGCCTGTCTCTTGTATTTAGTCCGTGTCTAAGTCAGTGTACCCCAGATCTGTCATTGTATTGTCCGTAGATGTCCGTGCCTGTCTGTCCGTCAGCTAATAAACTCTCTTCTGCCCGTAAGTTTGGCTCAGCTCGCCTGCTTCCTGGTTCGCCTATTTGCCTGAACGTGACAAGCGCATTATCACAACATTAAATTGTCTCAAAGCGCTTTACAGCATCCCCACCCAAAGCCCCCAGTGAGTAGGCCATAGGCGACAGTTGCAAGGAAAAACTCCCTAGAAGGAAGAAACCTTGGGAGGGACCAGACTCAAAGGGGGAGCCCATCCTCCAGGGGCTGGCAGGGAGAGTCAAATACTGTAGGAGAGATGGCTAAGTGCCGAGTCATACTGTCCAAATCATAAAATTTGAGACACAACCGGGGAGCAGGGGGGAGATGAGAAGCCGGTGCCGACGCTCCTTTCAATCACCAGGCAACCAGAAGTAAGCCAGTGAGTCATACATGGAAGATGACAGGCAGAATGGCGAGCTGGATGCAAGGACGACATGGGTAGTGGCGACGTCACATGTAGCAGGGTGTGCTGGACATCTTGATAGATTGAGGTCTCCAGGCAGCACCACGCAGGAGGAGTAAGGGAAATAAAATGTGCAATTAGTCAAAGTAAGGGAGACTATAGGCAGTGCTAACAGTTAGGTGAGTGCAATATGAAGTGCAATGTGCAAGCTCCGGCAGATATGGCTATGGCAGCATAAGTAGGAGGGAGAGGCAAGTGGGAACCCACAGTCTGGCTCGATTTAATAGCATATTTTATATTTTCCAAAGGCCTGTTGTGTCAACCTAAGTGTTATTAGGGTTGGCCATCTGAAGCTAGGGTTTGTGTTAGAAAGTTTTCCGGTGTTTCTGGTACACAGCACCCCCCCATATCACAATTACACAGGAGGGCATAGGAGGAGTGAGAGCACATTAATGATGCCCCTCCACTCACTGCAACTGGGTCACCTGATCTCAAAAGCAAGCTTGTCATCTATGTGCACATTACCAACAAACCACAACACTGCTTATCTTTTCACCTACCCTTTGCAAAAAAAAAAAATGTTGTATTGAATGTATGAGTCTGCCCTGAAAACGAGATCCTAATGCTTTGCAGGGTTTCCTTCTATATAATACCTATTCAATAGGCAGCCATGAGCCTAGTTCAGTCCATTCCTGGCCCATGACTCCTGGATGACATCCCTCTCTGGTGTTAATAAACAGCTATAGTGAGGAATTGACAGGAAGTGTGAACATCAATCTCTCCAGTTAAATTGCAATACTCATAAAAAATATAATATTCTCTTAATGGTTGTGTAGTCTGCTTTTGTGGTATGTGTCATCTACATCTTTAGTCTGGTATGTTTTATAATTTCAGATTCTTTAAATTGGCTGTAAAGCAGGAGTGGATCTAAAATACTGACACTGAGCTGGTGAACAACCTGGACATGGTGAAATGTATGAGAACGCCTTACCACATGTGCAAGGTACTTGTATACACTCACCTAAAGGATTATTAGGAACACCATACTAATACGGTGTTTGACCCCCTTTCGCCTTCAGAACACGAAGCTCCCGTTCCACCACATCCCAAAGATGTTCTATTGGGTTGAGATCTGGTGACTGTGGGGGCCATTTTAGTACAGTGAACTCATTGTCATGTTCAAGAAACCAATTTGAAAT